GGTGAAACACCAGAGGACTCACACAGGAGAAAAACCCTTTGAATGTCCTGATTGTGGAAAACGTTTCAGTTACAATTCCAACTTGGTAAGACATCAGAGAATCCACACAAGAAAAAAACCCTTTGCATGTATAGAATGAGGGAAAAGTTTCAATGAGAATTTTGACCCAGTGAAACACCAGCGGACTCACATAGGACACAAACCTTTTGAATAATCTGATTGTGGGTATATTTTAGTCAGAATTCCTACTTGGTGAAACATCACAGGATTCACACAGAAGAGAAACCCTTTGAACGTCCTATTTGTGGCAGAAGTTCCTGTCAGAATGTGAACCTGGTGATACACTAGAGGTCTCACAGAGAAGACAAATGTGTCTGTGGATGATGCTTCTGGCATAAATTGTTCCTTATTGCCCACAAATCCAACTGACAGAAAAGTTGATGAGATTAGAGAAGGGTTGAATTTTATTTCTCATCTCTCATTAGGAGTGTAGGTGAAAACATATCTCAGAATTAGACTTGTAAGTGGAGAGAAAAGAAAAATGGAAAAGGGCTAACTACCAGTTTCTCGTTATTAGCAGCAATTTCATTTTTTGCAGAAGTAGTGGAATTCCTCAAAAAGGCTTTTGGGTGGTGTTTTTTATATATTGATTATTGAATTCCCACACATGGAATTTCCATCTTCTATCTTGGTGTCTTCCATATGTTGAGCCCCAGAATTCCCCAGCCACCATAGAAGTAGACCTCTAGATACAACTATAATGGGGCCTGTTGAGTGAGATTAGTTTGCTTAAATACCTATCCCCATCCCCTTCTCTCCCTGATGAAGCTGTTAAACAAATGTTCAAGTTGTTAAGCAGAACAGCGGCTACTTCAGAGTTGTGGGAATCTCTTGGAGGCCCAGCCTCTACTACCCCACCTTTTGGGTCCCCACAGGCATTTTCCTGTTCCCACTGCGTCCCTGCAATTGTTAGGCCTGACTCCCAACCCACCAGGCATCACAGCCTCCTCCTTCTCCATACCTTTTGAAGATCTCTGAACCTCATGTTGGTGAAGGAAGGCAAGACATGCATTTGTAGGCTTCATGACTATGTTGTGGAAGCAGCTGTTATTTTGAACATGCTTGGGATTCATGCCTGGGTCATGTGGCGGACTTGTGGAAGCAGTTTCCATTTTATCATGCCTGCCTCTGTGTAAAAATGGTGGCTGCTTCTGGGTCATTGTTACTTGTACAAAGTATTCTGTTTTGCTACTGTAACACTTTGTAGACTGTGTTAAGGTATCGTGGGTGCACTGAAAATGGTGGATGCCTCTGGGAAATCTTCAAAAGGACAGGCCAAGTATCCCCGGCCCATATGCTAAGTTCCACTTGTGCCAGTATTGTGCTGTATAGTGGTGCCACTGCCGAAAAAAGCCAATGCAGTCCCAGGCTGCATCAACAGAGGCATAATCAGGGGTGGGATTCTACCGGTTCGGGCTGGTTCGGGTGAATCGGATGTTAATTTTACATCCAGTTCAGTGAACCAGTAGTTCTGAAGACTAGCTGGCCCCTCCCCTCCCAGGAGTCCCCACGAGGCCTATCTGGTTCTCAGATGAGTGTAGGGCAGGGTTGCCATCTGGCTGTTTTTCCGGCCAAATTCGAGAAATCTGGCCGTATTTCTATCTGGCCGTGAAAAAATGATGTCTCCGGCCAAATTTATTTGGCCGGAAATTTGGCCGTACGAAAGTTGCTTGGCTGTGAAATCGGCCAGATGGCAACCCTGCCGCTCTCCTTCCCTCGCGGATGCGCATCACCATGAGCAAAAGGAGGACAAGCACGTCCTCTCAGTTCTCCGACACGCCCGCTTCCTCTCAACTCCCATCACACACCCCTTCGGGACCTTGGTACCCGGCCACGCCCCCTTCCCGCCTGTGACCCGAGCAGGGGCGGCTCCTCCTCCATCAACACCACACCCATTCCTATTACGGCTCGTTCCAACGCCACGCCCCTCGGCTTCCCCACCCATCCCGAGCTCTCTTTCCCTCGCGCATGCGCGTCACCATGAGCAAAAGGAGGACAAGCACATCCTCTGGCGCTCTCCTTCCCTCGCGCATGCGCGTCACCATGAGCAAAAAATAATTTGGCCGAATTTGGCTGTATTTTGACTTGAGTTTGGTCGCAGAGCCAAACTGCGATCTGGCAACCCTGGTGTAGGGTCGCCTCCTGGGAGCAAAAACAGGGTATGTGGGGGTCCTGCGTTGCCCCCCTGCGCCCAATTTTTGCTCCCGGGGAGGCTTGCTAGGCCAAAAATGGGGCATGGGGGCTCCGGAACCCCCCCCATGCCTCATTTTTGTTTCCAGGAGGCTCCAGGGAGGCTTGCTAGGCCCTGTTTTGGGCCTAGTAGGCCTCCCTGCAGCCTCTTGGGAGCATCCAGCCATCCAATATGCCTGGATTCAATGTTTAGCCAAAAGAACATTTGGAGCAGCTAATACAGTATTGATCACTGCCTTGGGAATGTTCTAGGTAAACAAAACTATGCAGTCTCCTAAAACTGTTGGAGCCAATCTTCTTCCTTTCTTCCATATTCTTCTCTTTAAAACAAGTAAGTTGCTCTGGTATTTCATGCCAGGCTTAGTGTGGTAAGTTCAGCATGGATTTCGTAGAGAACAGCTTACTTTTAGGTGTCACAAAATAGGACCACAGTAGCACCATAAATGTACTTGTGGGAAAGGGATTTTTTTAAAGGTTATTTTATTCAAAATATTAATGTACAGTACAAATTCCAAAAACAAAAAGAATTTTTCAAAATCAAAATAATCATAGAAAAAACATATATATAAAAAAGGTACATTAAAAAATAGAAAAACAGATTTACTTTTATTATCCCCCCCACTAGAATATTCATAAACATATTTGAGCAATATTAGTTTCCTCCCCTTCTGAAACGGGCCCAAAATTTATAAAATTCTACCTCTGTTGACAACCAATTCAACATTCATCTATCTATGATCTATAAAGAGACATTGTAATTAACAGGTGAACCAACAACAAAGTTAAACATCAAAGTACCTTGTTAACAATCCACTATTCCATTTAATTTGTATAAAGTTTATAAGATTTATTTACCATAAATCACCAGAATCATTGTCTCTGATTTGTCTGGGATGAAATATCTTTGTTTGGTTCTTATTAATAAAACGTTTTCTTAAAATTTAAGTTGAGAGCAACAAGACAACAGTTGTGTCATTCCCCCAAGGTTTCTTGGTTGATCCATTTTCCAAATTGTTTTCCAGTTGGATATGGTAGGTCCATTCTCCAGTCTTCTTATGAAAGTTCAGTTCATCATGCGTCGAGTCCAGGGGTGGTAGTCAAATTTTTTAACAACCACTTCTGTGGGCATGGCTTAGGTGGTGGCCGTGGCTTGGTGGTCATGTGACTGGGTGGACATGGCTTGGTGGTCATGTTATTGGTTGGGTGTGGCCAACTCAACATCACTCACACCGAGGCACGCATCTCCTCACCTGGCCTCTCATGACTGGGGATGCTGCAATAGTCATAAGTGTGAAAAATGGTCATAAGTCACTTTTTTCAGTGCCATTGTAATTTTGAATGGTCACTCCACACAAGCAAAGTATCAATCAGCAAAGGAGGGGGAAAAATTCCAGAGACATTCCTGAGACAAGAAGTCTAATCCTGCCAAATATGTAATAAGGGTTAGCGGAGAGGCAGTTTCGGTAAGCAACACTAAAATGTTTCCTTCCAGCCTTCCTTACAGGATTAGGCCAGTAATTTCTTCTAACAATCGGTTCTCCGAACTGCTTAGAATGTTAACAACCGGTTCTAGCGAATAGGTGCAAACTGGTAGAATCCTACCCTTGGTCGAGTCTATTAATTCCAAATCTGTAGGAGGAGCCACATCCGCTTCAGCCTTCTCCAAACAAATCTGCAGTTTCCAAACCGTAGTGAGGGGTCTTTTAAGAAGCGACTGTGATCCCCGTGGGAGCTTCTTGGGAAGAGCTCAGGCTCACAAAGCCATTCATTTGTGTGCTCTCATAATCCCAAATTCCTCCATCAGTCCCAGAGGACGGGGACCTCCCAGAGCGTGGTTTTTTCTCACCACGATCCTTTACGTTTTTCTGGCTAATGTACCAGCTACAAATAACAATGATGCTTCCAGCAAATGACATCCACCGCAAATGGATTTATTTTCTGGGTGTAATAGAGGTTGTCTTCTGTGGGGGAATTATGCAGCAAGTTTCCAAATCAAATCAGAGACACTGAGGTAAATTTGTAGTTTTATATAAATGAATACATTTAACATATTTACAGCAAACAAGATAGTCAGGAACACAGAAACATCCTGAGGTAAATCCAAATAGGATACAGAGCACACAGAAGGAAAAAAGCGGGAAAAATGGGAAACTCCCCCTTTACACCTACAGCAACCAATCATAGCATAGATTGCCTCATGCAGCAGCAAGCACTCTCCAACCAATCAACTTAGAGCTGCCTGTTCTTGCCCATTCTACAATGTTTTTGTTCCAGCTACTAAATTTAATATCCAACACCCCTCCAATTTATAGCTGGACAGCATTGAAACCAAATTGTTTCACAAGATCTTTATGTTTTTTGTATACTTAATGGTTTTGTCATGAGGTCAGCTAAATTATTTTCTGCTGGACAATAAATTATGTTTTATTACATTTTCCTTCCCTGCTTCCCTGACATTACATTATTTTATGTCAACATGCTTCCTTCTAGTTGGTACTTGCAATGTTGCCATTTGTATACATATTGTGTTATCTTCAAATATTGGTGTAACTCCTTTCACTTCAATATCCAAATCCTTTACTAACCA